AATAAATTGTCAGTTCCAGTAAATTCCCAGTTTTCAATTACAGTAGGTAGGATACAAGAAAACAATGCAGTTTGGATGGTGTATTTAAAGTGGTTTTTATTATAATTTTCATAAACAAGCCATACTGACTTTGTAAAAAGATTAAGTCTTTTACAAAGGGACCAGCTGTAAACATTGAAGCATGCCTTTAAATGCATACTTAGTCATAGAAATGAAAGCTAACAAATGGTTGTTTAGACAGTGCTGATATAATTAGAAGTCGGATTTTAAATTTTATTTTCAAGTCTTGTGATACCTGAAGTCTTTTCCTGAAATTGTGGTAGGTTTTTTTGAGGGAAAAAAAATCCTAAATGCCTTCAACTTCCATTTTCATCTCTTCCATGCAGTATTTTTATTTTCACATGGCCTCTTGCACTTGAGTTTCAAAAATATATACTTAATAAAGCTTTCATCTGCACTGGCTAAGTAGACAAAGTGTAAGTTAGAATAAAATACCATTTACCTTTATGCTTTTCTTTGTGAAAAGTTTTGTTTATTATTCTAAGTTCTCTGCAATAGAAAAAGAAAAAAGCCTATAGGTTAAAAATCGTGGAGTTATCAGAGTTAGAAGGAACCTCTAGAGATCATCTAGTCCAACTCCCCTGCTAAAGCAGGATCCCCTAGAGCACATTCCACAGAACTGTATCCAGGTGGGTCTTGAATATCTCCAGAGAAGGGGACTCCACCACCTCCCTGGGCAGCCTGTTCAAATGCTCTGTCACCCTCACCTTAAAGAAGTTTTTCCTCATATTTAAAAACTGGCACTTCCTATGTTCCAGCTTGTGCCCGTTGCCTCTCGTCCTGTCACTGTGAGCTACTGAAAAAAGTCTGGCTCCATCCTCCTTGCACCCACCCTTTAGATACTTGTAGGCACTAATAAGGTCTTCCCTCTGGCTTCTCTTCTTCCTACTACCGAGTCCCAGCTCTGTCAGCCTTTCCTCATAAGGAAGATGCTCCCCCAGTCATCTTTGCTGCCCTTTACGCAACAAATCTTTAGAGGTTTTTTTATATCTCATTCGTTTCACACCCCATTGCTTTACTATGTGTGTTTTGCATTTCCACAGCATTTTGGAGGTTTAGTCAAGGATCAGTTCACACTGTGGAAAGTATTATGAAAGTAGAGGAAACCCCTTGCATTTTTTGAGAAATTAAAGTATTTATTTTCAGTGTTAAATAGCGTATCCATTTTTTTCCTGTTTGCTTTGAATGGGCATTTTTTTTAGATGAGGAAAATCTTGGTTTTTTTAAAAAGAAATACCTGACAGCGAGGTGGCAGAAAGACACCATGGAAATCTATACTGGATCTTTTACTTTACAGTGTGCTAGAGGTTTGGGGTTGTTTTTTTTATACTATCATGCTTGAGCCTGTTGTGGAAAAACTAATACATGTGCATTACCACATGCTTAACGAATGATTTCAAACATTTTTACAAACATTCAGTTTTTTAACCTCAACATTCCTGTGGCCCAGGATGTGCTCTCTGTTCAGTAGCAGTTCATTTTAATAATACCCTCTGTAGAGTCTTGTGTGGTAGTAGTATTGCAGTGTGGAAGTTCTAACCTCTATACAAAATTGTCATTCTTAATTTTTTACAAAACCAGTTTATACATATATACTTATATTTTTATTAATCTCTATATATTTTATATATTTATACATTTTATATATAAATATAAAATATTTTAAAATAAAATCCTCTAACACCAAGTGTTGGAACTTAGATATAAATTATGGCTACTTAAATATTAAAAAACGTGTTGTGACTTAGTTCAACAGCTGCTTGTTGTTGTTTTTTTTTTTCTTTTTTCTTTTTTTTTTTTTTCCTAAAGGGGAAGAATATTGCCAAAGCAATTGGATGCCACTCTCTCTTTTGGAGCCAACTGAAAAATAAAAAGAGAGGTGACTTTTGCTTTGCTGCTCTGTTTAAATCTGGCCGGTTCTTTGAGAGAAGTACACATGCAGAAATGGGAAAGAGAAAGATGCTGCCTGGGTGGATTTTGATAACAGGCATCAAGACAACCTTCGCCTTTGCACACTTTGGTGTAAGAGAAGGATCTCAGCCCCTGGGTGGGGAAATGTCATTGCCTGGTAGCATAAGGATTCATCATCTCACCATCTCTACAAACTACAGGTTTGTAGACCAGGAGAGAGGTCACTGAAGGAGTTAAGTTGTGACTGCCACAGGCAGCATCAAAAAGGGCTATTAGTTGAAAAGCTTTCCACAGTTTATCTGTAAGACATGTGGTTTTGCTTTAGTTTTATAAACGGCAGTTGTAAAGACATGCTAGAGTTGAATGCAGTTCCACCAAGCAGATTCTTGCATAAATAAAAGCAACAAAGTCTGAAAGGATAAGCAGTATTGTGTCAGATACAAAAGGTCTTAATTGTAAATCTGTAGCCACCTGAGCAGTGAGGTTGAGCAACTTGATGGTGTTACTTAATTACATCTTTTTAAAACCTGCAGGGATGCTGATATTTTGCATCTTTTTTAAATTACAGTTTTCATTTCTGAGGCATGTGGACCAAAAATATGCAGTGGTGGCTACAGAAGAATGCAAATTTCTGTACTCAAACTCGCATTAGACAGTAGCCTTATGAATGTAATGCAGTGCTGTGCTGCCAACAGCAGTAGTATTTGTATTTGTTATACACTGACATGCAAAGATACCGTGATGATTTATATTGTTGTGTGGGTTTTTTTCCCCTGGCATGAGTCTTCATATTAAAGAAGCCACTAGTGAGTGTAGGAAATACAATGTAATATTGCTGTATAGATTAATGGATGTGGGTTGGTTGTTTTTTTCCTTGTTTTGATTGTCTTTGATCAGTAGGCACCTGGATGATGTTCTAGAAATTGCTCTTATGCATAATGTCTGTGTGTGCACATGAACTTAAGCACTGTGTGTAAGATTAAGTAAGTTTGGGGTTGTCCGTGGAACTTGTAAAATACATGTAGGTTCTCTTCTGTAAAAACAAATTATTTAAAAATAATTACAAACAAAAGAATAGTCTTGGAAGAACTGTATGTATGCATGGGCAAATGTATTATATATGTGCTTGTCACCTCCTGAAGAATGCCCAGTATTATAAAACTTGTAAAATCAATAGCATTACTGCTTAATTTGTCTTAATAATTCTTTTCACTTGTTTGTCAATTAGCAAATTGGTGGGAAAGAGCCAGTTAATGCCATACTGAGCTTCAGGAGTGAAAGCTGTTCCTCATTTAAATTTTTTCTTAATAATGCAAATTTATGAAATACTGGGGAAAATGTTGGGGGGAATTGGTTTTTGCTTTATTTGTCTTCCTGTCCTTGTACTGTAGAGAATAGTACCACTTGAAAATGGAACATTGAAAGTAGCATTATGGGTCATGAAGTCTTGTCTGTTGCTATTACAGGCAACCATGTCATATAATCCCATCCATAAACATGCCATCCATACCCCAACATCTAGCTTTTAGTCCTCACCACTCATATGGAGTGTTGTCCTTCAACTGCGGGCTAGAATCATGTTCTGATTTCCAGTCTGAGTGTGCTCCTGACCGTCATGTAGGCATTTCTAAGAGGACACTTTCAGCTGTCAGAAGCAAGCTGCACACCAGGGCAGAATCTAAGAAAACACTGTGAGCTGTCTCATTTTTCATCTAAGACAATTAGGCTTTTTTAAGACCCATTCTTCCCTGCAGCTTATCACTAAGTTTCTTAGCATGTTGTGTTCTGCACATAATAGCTGGTATGCAGCTAGTCTCTCTGGATATTAACAGTTTCAGTCCTGCCAAAGCTTCAAATGGCACAAGATTTTCTTCCTGAAACCACTCAGCAGTCACTTCTTTTTTTTTTTTTTTCTTTTATATATATATTTTTTTTAATCCCCTGATAAGGCAGGATCTCCTAACAATGTTTTAGTGGTTTGCATGTTCCTTCCTCACAGCTGCTTGTGGGACAGAGTATACCAGGGCACACTGCACCATGTTGATCCTGCTTTGAGCACGTATCTGCTGGGTTATCTGTTTCCTCTCATATTTTTCCAAAACGGATAAAAACAAATGCATCTTGGCAAGTTGCTATGTACATATGCACAAACACGTTAAAGGATTTCTTTATGAGCAGCAAGTATTACTTGATGTTGATGAAGGTGACTGCACTGCTAACTAGAGATCAGGAGCTGGAATGAAGTTGTGTGTAGCAGAAATACACTTGTTCGTACTTATGTGATTTATGAATTGGAGAGATGTCAGGTCCTAACCAGAAACAATTTGTTTTATCTGATCCTAAAACTGTAGCTGATTGTTCTGATACAAAGTGAGTGTAAACTGTAAATGCACTAAGCTTGACTGTCACAGTGTTTAGCACAAATTCTTTTTCTTCTTACAGTAGTTTTTAGAGTATACAGTCTTTGCTAAAAGTAATGCCTGGGTTTAATTTGCAGGAAACTTGGGGACAATGACTTCTAGGTACAAATTTTTTATGTCGAAAGTGTTTTCCATGCACAAGAGAAGTAGAAGCAAGAGTGCAGCAGACAGTTTGGATAACATACTCTTTTGAAAAATAACAAATATAAAATCTGTGGTCATTACTCATTGATATTACAATATTTTAAAAAATTCTCTGGCATTTGTATCTGATGCTAGGGTTAAACCGAGCATTCTTAAGAATTAAATTTCTGTCTGTAGTGAGATATGTAGTTAAGCTAATTGTGGAGGAGCTACACTACTGCACACTTGCTTACCCGGTAATCTTATTTTGATACTCTAAAGGAAATTAAACATGATGGAATATCTTTTAAGTGCTAATATAGTAAGAAGAATTTGAAAAATGTTTTTCAATATTTACACATTAAATTCCTCACTGAAGCATCTCCTAAATAAATTGGTGTTTGACTTATTAGTTGTTACCTGTGAGATTTTGACTCGTCAGTTTGTTATTTACCATTTTATATATACGTTATTTTTTCTGTACAGGATGTGAATGAAGATCCTGGAGAAGATGTTGCACTTCTTTCTGTTAGTTTTGAGGATGCAGAGGCTACTCAGGTTATTCCTAAGTTGTATCTCTCCCCACGTATTGAACAGTGAGTAAGACAGTTTTTTTCTGGAGCGTTCATTCTTTTTCATCTTTAAACTTTTCAGTTTTTCCCTGATGTATTTGAGAAATGTTGGCTAGTTAATAAAATACTTTTACTTTAAATTGCTTAAAGTCATAAGGACTACTGCAAGTGTGTGTGTGGTGGAGAAATGATAGAGCTGCTTTCAGCTATTTCTGTGTTTATGGCTGGATTACATATGGATGAAGAGAAGTGATCAGTAGCTACATGTGGTATTCTTGTATCATCATATTCCACAAAAACTATGCTGTGCTTTCCTGTAGCAGCATTATTGGATGTCTCCTATGGTACAGCATGCCAATAACTTTTTTGTGGAGGAATCTTTAATTTAATTTCCTTTTGGGAAGTTAAGTTCTCCATATAAACAGAATACCTTTGAATAAACTATTGCTGTGTTGAAGCTGAAGTTTGAAGTTAACTGTGTTTTAGGAATTAACAGCTTAAATAAGATACTGTTTTCAGGAGATATCTGAATGTCTTACTTTAAGATTGTTGAAACTTATTGATCTGTTGGCCAGTTTGCATCAGATTTGCTGAGAAACAAATTTTTGCTCCTAAAATGGAAGGATGAGGATTAGAAATCAGTCTACTTTAATTAAATTTTTCTTATTCCATTTCTGGAATTCAGAGTGTCTTTATGTTCAGTATCTTTCCCTCAGTATCTCAGTGTTGTAACATCGGCTTCAAATAAGTGACCACATTAGACTGTTCAGATATACAACAGTTAAGCTGGTCTAAATTGTTTAATTTGTTTTTCTGGTTAATGCTGCAGTGGCTTTCCTCTGAAGTGGTGATGACACTTCTGGGTAGAGAAGAAAAGATGAAAAACGATGACTACCACAGTTTTATAATAACTCAGTGATAAAGTTTGTGAAGGAACATGGTATCTTGACATTTTGCTCAGCAGAGCATTGGTCTGGATAAACAGTTGGATGCAATTTAAAAAACAAAACCCAAGATTTGACTTAGATAAAGGCATAAGACTTCCCAGATATTTTATTTATGAAAACCTAGTTTACACATGCAAATACACACAAACAATACATTTAGTAGCTTTTACATTTTCATCTTTTTTATCAGTTCAATACTTTTTGGCAGCATTACTTGAGGGAGTAATTGTAGTCAAACATGTAATTATCCTTCTGTGTTCCAAAGGATTCTTCTGCTCAGCTGTTGTTGAAAGCAAGTGGGTTGTAACTGTTTCCACTGTATTTTCAACTCTAGTCACATAATGGCTCTTAAATATCTCTAAGGCCACCAAGGTACATCTGTCCGAATGACCCGTGTGCTAATGAATGTGCTGCTTATTTTCCCACTTTCAATAGTATCTTTAGAAAGATGCTAAACTCTTGAAAACAAGCAGAATAGCAATACAAAGGAGCAGTTAGTCTTTCTAAAAGTATTAAATTTTCCTTTACTGCCCTAAAGAATATCTGATTTTACATGTGTGATGTAGAGCATCATAGCAGAAAGATATTTGGGTGGTGTTAATGCATATCTGACATTTCTGATGTATTGATGGCTTTGTTGTTTATAGCTTATGTAGTCATATTAAAATCATCCCAGTAAACCCTGGAGTTCCATACCACACCTTGTTACCTTATCTGTCTATCAGATTTGAGATACTTGACTCATAACTCAATCTATCCTCTCGCATTTGTAAGATACTCGTCACAGCATCTAGACACTGGTAACCCATAATACTGGAGTTGCTTGTGAATTCTTGAACCTTCCTTTATTCTACTGGCTACTTTTTATGTACCATGAAAAAAGGTATGGGTATGTTTTCAATGTTCGTTCGATTGCCCTTTAATAACACAGATACAGTAGTCTCTTGTTCTTTCCCAAATCCGGTCGCTACTCTGTTTAGTGGGGTCTAGATACTTAACTTTCCAGTGTTTGGGAACTGAAGCAACAATGTGTACTTCTTTATACTTTTTGCCAAAAGTACAAAAAACCCTCAAAAAGCCCTGAGGATTAGTTTAATGACTTGAGGCTATGGCATGTTACATTTGAATTGTGTTCTGCTTATAAAAGTTCTTCCCTGCTGCTAACAGTAATTGCATCTACAAAAGCCATGTAAGCAAATTACCAGTGTATGTTTTTTTATGCAGCAGATTTTGAGGTGGAGTAAGTAGTAGTTGACAGTTCCCAACATAACATTCCCAAGTACTCAACAAAACAGGAAAAATACCAAATTCCCACAATTATTGTGCTACTATTAAACTCTGTTCACCTTAGGAAGAACGAGCAAACAGGAATAGCATTTTCCTGACTTATGAAAAAGCATTTTCAGATACAAACGGTTCAGCTTTGTAGAGAAATCAGCGCAAAGAGCCTGTGTAATGCCTGTTATCTCCTGCTTTCCCAAGAGGTTTCATTGCTTTTGTATTCTACCATATAAACATGCATTCCCACATTGTGTTTTCTAAAAATGATACATACCCACACATCTCGTCAGTGAATTTAAGCCCTAGCAATATGAATACAGTGTTTTTGCTTTGAAGGGTTATCGTAAAGCAGATTTGCTCTATTTTTAGATGGACAGTAAACATAATAATAGTAATGACTGCTCTTTGCCATAGACTCTGCAAAAGAGGTTTGCAAAGTGACGAAAGTGTCCACTTTTAAAAGAGTTGGGGCTAAGTTGGCTTGAAAAAGCTCATCTATTAAAGCAACAGGTAAAAATGCAGTAGAGAAGTAATGTGGCTCATTTGAGTCAATGTCAGTGTTCCACTGGCAGCAAGAGTGTCAAGTTCAATTCTTACAGTGAAAGAACAACACTGCACTTAGGGATGGGAAGCGTTTGTGTTACTTTATAAAAATCTCAGCAATAATTATTCATAGCTCTGTGTGGTTTAATTATTTCCTTTAAAGTTGCTAATTTAAAAATTCCTTTAATTATTAATTGTCGAAAACACAATAACAGCAATTTCTATTTAATGTTTCCTCTATTTGAAATCAATCACTTAAAAAACCTTTAGTTTTCTAATTTTAAGGATTCTTATTCTTTATTGCACTGCCTGAGTAAGCAGATAGATGCCAGTAACAGTTGCTTTTAATGATTTCAAAAATTGGATTAATTAGAGTGAAATGGGGTGTATTTATGATAGATGTCTTGTTTTAAAACTGCCATCATAACTGCAGTTCATAAAAACAAGTTTCTGCACACATCTGGAGGAAGTGGTAAGCTGGGGGAGTGTGCAGACTGACCACCCAACTCGAGAGGATGGTGCTTGTTGAGGATCTCTGAGTGTGTGTCCTCAGCTCATCCTGCTCCTCCTCCTCGCACCAGGAGAATGGGACTGGCCACAGGATGCTCTGCAGCCCCTGCTGAGGGTTGCTGTGCTTTGGGGAAAGGTCGGAGAGCTGAGCAGTGTCAGTGCCTGAGGCCTCTCACTTGCTCATAGACCTGACCTCCCTCTCCTGCTGGGTAGGCACGGATGTATTCTGATGTTGCTTCTGCACTCCTCTGCATCATGAGGAGCCACTGGGATATTTACTCCTTATGTGTGTGTCATATTTCCATGCATTTTTCATAGTGTCTCTAAACCTGTTGGTAGGAAGCATCTTCCTTGCTCAAAATTACCTTTCTAGTGGAAGTATACTAGATAATTCATACTGAAAGGAAACTTGCAATGAAAATAGCCATAGTATCTTTGGTTTCCATTTATTGAAAGCTACTGGAACCTTAATCCAAGAAGTCAGTGCAGGATGGAATAGCTAGTTTCTATATTAATGCTTAAAATATGTGTCAGCATACTACACATTAGTGTAGATCAGAAGGGTATTTAAAAAAATAAGAATTAGTGCAAGTATTTTTTTTCTTTTTCCTTCATGAGTTGTTCATGCTAAAGAAAATCAAAATGGGTTCATCTTGGTTCACACTTTAAGAAAAAAGGATGTAAGGGTAGAAACACTGTTGCTCAGTGAATGCTATGTTCCCTGAATTCACAGAAATAATCCTGCAGTAAACACTGTTGTCCTGGAGGGTTTTTCTCTGATAAATATGCGGACGTGAATATGCTAAGAAAACCAGCTGTCAGGAGAACTTGTTTTGCTTAAATGGATCAGGCTCCATGCTTAGAGGACTGAAATGGTTGGGTTTTACTGGTCTGGGAGCTGTGCCAGAGGGTTCTTTGTAACTGAGGGTGGTATGCAGAGTTCGGTGACTGCATTTAACCTTCTCATGCAGGCAAGGGAGAATAACGAGAACCTGGGCTGAACTCTTTGACTCGACTTGGATTGACAGTCAAAACACATTGACTTGTACTTCTGTCCCAGGTGTTCAGCTGTACTGGCTGTTCCTTTTTCTTCTGAAGAACTCACACGGAACAATTAGTGAAAATAGTTCTATAAGATCTAAGATTTATGTGACTGTAGTCTAAATGGTGCTTTAATACTGGGCATGTTAAGGTTGTCCTTAAATGGTTCAGTTAGTGAGATTTTTGAGATGGTTTTCTTTCATTTAGAGACCAAGCAATTAGACCTAGTCATTGAGGTATGAAATACTTGAGGCAGTTTGGTGGGACTGATTTTGTTGTTGATCATGAGGTATCAGTTTCTCTGTGTAGGAGAAAAGAGGAAGTTGTTGGTGTGATGTACACTTTGTGGCACTCCAAAGCTCAGTGTTGCCTCTAGTCTCAGAGCAAAACTGAGATTTGTATGTTGTGAAAGGTTTTTGTCTTCCCTCCTGGCTGTTTTGTCAGGCTTCTCTCAGATCACTTGCCTTTGTGCATTAGGTTCTGTAACCTGATGGTGGAGAGAGTATTTTACATTATATGTACCAAGTACTATACCTTTTAAAGGATTCTCTTATATAGTAGAAAATATGTATGGAAAATGGAATTAGTAAGAAATTACAAAAAAAATAAGCATGATTCAAGATAGTCTTCTTCAGCTCCCTTGCTCTGCATATTTCTGACTAGAGTGAAATGGTCCACAATATTTCAGTAGTTTTAGACAGA